AGCTGAGGAACACGTAGTCTCAATTGATTGCCAATAAGGATACAGCTGCAATACTGTAAGTCTATTTACTGTTGAAATTTAGGTTTCCAAAACTACATGGGTTTTGTTTTTAATTTTTGTAACATCTTAAGGTGTAGCATTACATGTTTTGTTTAACTAAAATACATTCATATTTTTCAAATTTAACGAAAGTTCATTTACTTGATATACTTGATATATAGTTAATCGAAAATCTATGCAAACGGAGCAGTAAAATGGAAATATTCAATTTTACGGATAATTTCAATTTTACCTTTGATTGTGGGAGGGGGTAAAACAGTAGTGAATAATAGTTTTATTTGGATATAAATAAAAAAGAAAAAGTTGTGGAGTCTTGCTGTGAGGTTACACTCAGTATGTATGAGCAGAAGTATAATGAAGTAAACTGTCATTGAGTAAGCTTGTACTGGTATATCATATAATTGCTTTAGAGAATTACGTCTTCTATAAATTTGTTAGAACCATCGATTGACTTAAGGCTTGAAAGACTTATGACTAATGTACTGTGTTATCTTTCCGGTTTACATTGTTGTTATTCCAGGTTTTATTGTTTTCAAAAGGAGTTTTAAGTTTTAAGACTCTCCCTTATCAAAAATCGATAGCCTTCAGTCACAGGCCTCCTTCAGAGTAGATTTCTGAAACTTCCTTTTTTGGGGTTCTTCTCTGGCCTTATCATCTACCTCTGCAAAAAGTCAGCTGTCTGTCGTGCTGCACCGTGTCGAGGCGTTGTCTGTGTGAAGGAAAAGAGATCCTGCTTCTGGGTCGTTTTCCTGCAGATTTTCCAGGAAGACAAACCAGTGAGCAATGTATGTGCATTGGTTTTGACTTCTCACAATACTAGCCTTACTCATTTATTTATTTATTTATTTAAGACCAGTTTGTTAAAATTTTGCGAGGCCCGACCCGATGAATGTTCGTATACACGGACATCCATATACACAAAAATAAATGCATTTGTGAAAGATGGAATAATGCATTACCGCATTTTTATCACGAACATCATAACCTCTCCAATCGGGATTCGATCCCTCGCCGCCAATGCACGTGAATCCAAGATGCATTTGTGTATCTATCTGGTAGATAAACATTTATCTATCTATTTAAGCGATAGGTATACATGCCTAGACAGATAAAATGCATTTATGTTTGTGTATATGCATGTCTATATGATAAATACTCACTGGATCGGGCCTCAATGTTTAACAAACCGGAATTAAGAGCGAATCTTCTCACTCACCAGATTATAAACCTGGCTTCAAGACTGATAAATCCGGGTTCCATAGCATCCAACAGTAATGCGAGGAGGGGGATAAGGATCGAAAAACAATTTTAAAAAGTTCTCTTTATTAATCCCATAAAATTTCTCTTAATCAACAAAACCACTGCGGTCTACATTTATCACATAGAACAACCCTTCCATCTGCTACCGAGTGAATCTTGCACACCCATTTATAACAGAGAGAGCATTGTTTGGCGGACTTTTTGTCGTTTTTCCGCGGGCAAATGCTACACCTCCCGCGCCTTCTTGCTTTTCTGTCTTGGTTTATTGCCTGCATTCTTCGGTCTCCCTGAAAGCAAACAAGAAATGATAATTTGTGTATTAGTCTCAAGTGATCGGAATAAAAATATTTAAACAATTATTTCCCCCACGTACATACATGCAATTATATATATCTATCTACCTATGTCTCTATCGACCTTATTCCTAAAAATCATATCGAAACATCATCTACCTTTTGAAATAATAGACACAACTGATAAAATAACAAAACGAAACCCACAGGGCTTTAGTTCTGTATGACTCCCCCCCCCCTTCAGGAAATTTACGGATATAATTTAGATATATAATCTCATTAACTCATTTTACCTTATCACTTAAATCACCTTAAACGTATCCAAGTGACTGGATATGATCACCGTCACCTTCAACCTACGGAAAATATCCTTTCACACTTTTGAATTCTGCATGTCCTCTATCCCCTCAATAGGATAGGTAGGTATTCACGGGATACCCCTTGTCGTATTAAGAAAATCAGTATTACCCAGGTATTTTTGACTGATTGTTTGCATGGCTAGGCTATCAGGAAACAGGCCAGAGAGTTGGAAAGTGCTTGCATCTTACAGTAAAGTTTCTCTGATATATCGGACGGATAATCGGTTAATTGTCCGCTTGATGAGGAGCTTCTGACAAGTTCGAAACGTTACGATTCAATTTTATTTTGTACTGTTGTTGTGCTATCTTTATATGTATGTATATATGTATATATATGTGTATATGTATATATATGTGTGTGTGTGTGTGTGTGTGTGTGTGTGTGTGTGTGTGTGTGTGTGTGTGTGTGTGTGTGTGTGTGTGTGTGTGTGTGTGTGTGTGTGTGTGTGTGTGTGTGTGCGTGTGTGTCTGTGTGCGTGTGTGTCTGTGTGTGTATGTATGTGTGTGTTTACATGCATACATACACACATTCCTGTAATTTTCGCAGTACCGGAATCTTACAAATGCGGGCTATCCCCATCTCTGACGTATGATGGACAATGTGTAGCGATAACATTAGAAACGTGACAAAACCAGTTCGTCTAAACCCTGATGCTCCAGGTTTCATACAATAACAATAAAAAAACCTATCAAAGTGGACTAGATGAGGTCATGTCAGTAACACATCATGCTAGCACATTCAGCTTAGTAAACAATAACCTCTTAACCAACAAAAATCAATACAAATGAGCAAACACAAGCACTACCATACATAATTTTCTCTCGTAGCACATCACAAAGCGAAACTTTCCATTCCATGCAATTTACCTAAAAATTTGAGCTCTTTAACCACAATTGTTTCATTAGACTACCTAACAGCTGGTGTCATACATTTGGTGTCATAACAAGAGCCAACTTCTCACCATTATGTAAATACACATGCAAATACAAGTGACATACGGCCAGTTTGTTAAAATATATATGAATATACAGAAACGTACACAAAAATAAATACATATCTGTCTGTCTGATAATATGCATTGATTTATCTGTCTGTTCTGTATATATGCATGTCTACACTGATAGATATTCATTTATTTATATGTATATGCATGTTCGTATAATGATTTTAACAAATCCGGCCATTGTGGCGACTTTTGCTTTTCATCTTTTTCGGAGATTATCCATACTTTTTTATATTTCATTATTATCATCATCATTATCATACTCGATTTATTTCTTGCAAGAACTGCCCAATTCCTAACCTTTTAAACTTCAGTCCATTCTTTAGATCTACAAGTATTGGCAAAAGTACGAAAATTACGATTTCTTACGGTGAAAATAAATGAGTTCTTTACTTGCATACTTCCCTTAATGTCGACTTCGTTTTATCTTTGAATTTTCTTTTTTACAAATCTAAATTTCCGAAAATTGCCAAATTTCGATATATTTGACTATGCTGACAGGGAATTTGGTAAAAAAAAAAAAAAATAGAATAACAGAGTAGATAAATAATAAAGAAAATTACAGAGCAAATCGAGGAAATCTTATCACATTTGATAAAAAAAAGACCTAATCTTTCGTCAAAAAACTCATAAAGTCTTCGTACTCATCGCTATCTAAATTCTTAATATAAATACAAGTAATCACCACACATTTATACATAATATGATAATCTAGCATTAGAAATACAACACACATATAGCGCATACATCTTTCATAGTGACAAAAAGCATAGGGAATGCGGTGCCTGGGTTAGCGAGCAGATAATCAACCGAAATACGTTAATTAACGCGCTCCATGCATATTTTATTAATTTATCCATTTATTTTTAAGTTGAAGTCAGAGGGAGAGAAGCCTCCTTCTAATTCCATTTCTTTTTTAACATGGCGAATGAATATCTCTGTTTCAAGCACGGAGAAAAGGGGGTGGGGGAATGTATAGATTAAAGTTGATAGAGGTGTTTATACCTCTCCTCTGCCTGGGTTGATGTACTGGGGGGATATGGGGGGGTGGATGGGGTGTACTGGGGGGGTACAGGGGGTGGTATGGGGGGATGGGGTGGTACTAGGGGGGGGGGGGGTGGGGGGTACTGGGGGGATGGTGGGGGGGGGTGGGTGGGGTGGTAAAAAATGGGGGATGGGTTGGGGATGGGACTGGGGGGATGGGGGGGAAGGGGGGAGTGGTACTGAGGGGGATGGGGGTGGGGGAAAAGCAACAACCATAAGTATGATGGGGCTAATCTGGGGGTGGTTGCTTGTGGGTGGGTTATGGGGGGGGGGGGATGGGGTGGTACTTACTGGGGGGCGGGGTTGTGTAGGGGGCACGAACGCTTGTGTGAATGCTAATATATTTAATTTGTTTATTTATTCATTTATTTTTGGGGAGGGGGCAACTATTTACTTTACTAATGGGGTAAGTTTAATTGGGCTAAACTCCTTTTAAAACTTTAGGTGGGGCTTATCAATATAGGGAGTTTGTTCAACACCAAATTCTGTTATAAAACTTAAAATCTTAAAATGGCCAAAATTAGTTACTTGACCAATTTTGACAAGACGGCCCCCTCAGAAGAATTTTGGGCCTATCATGTTACCCTTGCATATCATTTAGGCAGACCATACAATATAATCATATATAAATATATAATTCTGGTGAATGAAACAAATAATCTTATAGAAAATTATTTATTAAATTTTTGGTCTTGACAAAATCATTTTTTTTCCTTCCAAGAGTAAAGACTGTTCAGATAATTTCTCTCTCTCTCTCTCTCTCTCTCTCTCTCTCTCTCTCTCTCTCTCTCTCCTCTCTTCTCTCTCTCTCTCTCTCTCTCTCTCTCTCATTCCTTTTGTCTTTCTCTCTCTCTCTCTCTCTCTCTCTCTCTCTCTCTCTCTCTCTCTCTCTCTCTCTCTCTCTCTCTCTCTCTCTCTCTCTCTCTCTCTGCTCTCTGTCTCTTGTGTGTGTGTGTGTGTGTGTGTGTGTGTGTGTGTGTGTGCTGTGTGGTGTGTGTGTGCGTGTGTGTGTGTGTATTTCTTAAAAAAAGGTCAATTCAGGTCCCACAATTGTATGGAGTAGCCAGTGTGTACACATGATTGGCATTCATGAGATCCACATACATCTAAATATCTTCTGTGTATATGTACTGGCAATACTGACAGAAACTATGATAGAATTAGAAATGTTAAACTATACTAACAGAAATAATCCATTTGTTTGTCTCACTTGCTTGAATGCTAACTCCTGCTATATTATTCTACAAAATCACATTTTACAGCCAAAAAGATTACTGGATTTTATTTGTTTTCGTTTCCATAGCACTGTTTTGCGTATATGATTTCAATTCAACCTTGTTCTCTGTTCTTTGTTGAAAAAATAAAAACACTAAACTAAATGGTTAGCTTAGGATCCTCAACTTACATTCTAAAATGTCAAAATCTGCTAATAATGCGTCACATCTTTTATCAAACCACTCGAGAGACAGATCACGGTGAGGCTAAGGTTTAGCCACATCTGAGAGAACCTTGGGCTCATTCTGAACTGCTCCAAGGGCTTCCCTTAACACAAGGCTGTCTAGACATTCTGCCTCCTGGTTAGCTTCTTTGAAGTGCTTTTTAACCTCTTCAGGACACTTCTTGCATTTCACAATATGCGCCTTCATCTTGGTGGCATTGGGGAAACCATATTTCAACAGACAATATCTGCAGTAAGCAACAGTCTTCTCAGCTATCTTGTATGATTTGTAGTGTTTCCAAATTTCAGATGTTGGGCGACCCATTTTCCTCTGAAAACAGAATTGAAAATCTGCTATTTTAACTCTGCAATCCCTTCAATTTGTAATTAATATGAATAATCTGTGTTCAAATGGAAAGTGAAATGTTGTTTATATACACACTTAGGTATATAATCACACACACACACACACACACACACACACACACACACACACACACACACACACACACACACACACACACACACACACACACACACACACACACACACACACACACACACACACACACACACACACACACTTTTTAGATTTATACTCAAACTCAAATTTAAACTCAAGATTCAAACTACTCAGTGACTGCCTTCCCTCTGTTCTACCCATGCAGAGAGAGAGAGAAAGAGAGAGAGAGAGAAGAAAAAAAAAAACATAAATAATCTTTAATGAAATAAGATTTCTTTCCAGCCAAATTTAATTTGGGGTTCAATGTAACTTGAAAGGCAGTAATTCAAGTGTTTGTGCCACCTTATTCATAAAGAATAAACCATTTTTCTGGATTACTAAGTATTCATTACCTTTTAGGGTTCCAAGATGTAAAGTATATGTCATGTATTTTATAAACACAATTCTGAGAAATGGAAGCAAATATGCATAAACATATGTCTGAAATCAAAAAGTTCTGGGAGCTCTTATAAAGAAAAGAGAAGAATTGTACTTAAGATAATGGCCTGAGTCAAGAAACACTTTAATAAGCACTAACTCTTTCACAGCATATGATGAATATAGTCAACAAATGAAATTAATATGAAATAGTTTTAATAAGCATCAGCCACTCTCATAGAACCAAATTTGCTTTTTGGGAAAACCAAAACATGACTTTATCTCACAAAAATTCTTCATCTTCCTAGACCTGTCCCTAACTACTCGGCCTTCTACAACATTATCTATTCTTATCTTTTTCATTCGCTAACACAATGTCTGGCTTTCTCTCTCTCTCTCTCTCTCTTAATAATCCTTTCTCACTTTCTTGATTTTTCTCTCCCTTTCTTTCATCTATTGTGTTCCTTTTCTTTCATTTAATCATTCATTCAAACATTCTCTCTTTGACTCTTTTCTTCTCCCTTTCCCTTATTCATTCATTTATCCATTTGCTCTCTTTCTCTCTTTATGTCTCTCTGTCCACTAATAGATAATCTAAATATTCTGATTAAAAATAAAAGGACTCTAAACTTGCTCTGGTATTCCTTAGCCTCTTCTACTACATTACTAAAGTTGTTTTGGGAAATAGCATTGACCAACTGCCTGCTGTGATGCCATCATGGTTTTACTAATTTTCCTGGAGTTCAGATTTAGTCCAGTGGCCCGATGCACTTCAATGGCAATTTCCATCAAATCTACAAATCAAATCAAATTCATTTTTTGATGGGAATTAATTAAGGATAACAAAGATAAAAAGAGGAATGACCACCAGAGCAATCAGAACAACCTAAGCAGTAACTAATACTAGCAACACCACGCAGTGAGTAACCACACTTCTTTGTGTATCGGCTTTTTGATAGAAAAGAAAATGATGCTGAAAAATGCATAGGGAAGAACAGAAGCTCTTCAGGCCAATGTGAATACAATAATAATTGTATAGTTCATACAATGTGGCCTTCTTTAGCCCTTTTGAATGTGGTGAGGTCCTCCCCATTGTTTTAACATGGTTGTAAATTGTGAATTTTGATTTATCTAGATAACAGTTACTGCACTCCACATATTATTGCCAATGCACAAATTCTGTTGTAAAATGAGAAAATGATCCCTATAAAGAAACAAAATTACATGCAGAATATAACACATATAGTATAAAATATACATCTATCTATCTCTCTATCCATGAATAATCATATACATATATGTGTGCCAGTCAGTGTGTATGCATATATATATATATATATTATATATATATATATATATATATATATATATATATAATATCTATATATAATATATATGTACATATATATATATATAATATATATATATATATATATATATATATATATATATATATATATATGTATATATGTATATATATGTATAATATATATATATATATATATATATATATATATATGTATATATCATATATATATATATCTATCTATCTAATCTATCTATCTATCTATCTATCTATCTATCTATCTATCTATCTATCTATCTATCTATCTATCTATCTTCTATCTATCTATATATATATATATGTATTATATATATATTTATATATATATGTATATATATATATATATATATATATATCATATATATGGATGGCATGAACATGGCTTTGCAATCACAAGATCCTGGTTCATGCTTAATTGTCTCTCTCAGCTGACTCAGCTGTAGTGAGTACTAGTGCACTGGCATAGCATACTGGGCTTCAAAGCCAGGGCTGAAGGGAACAGGGTACCCTGCTGTATTATTTTGCAGCTTAGTACAAATGTGTCTTCTATGTTCACTTGGATATGGGACCAACTTTGACTTTGTACATATGTATACATAAACATATACTTACATACATGCATGCATAAATACATACATACATATATACATATGCGCACACGCACCACACACACACAACACACACACAACACACACACACACACACACACACACACACACACATATATACATCCATACACATATATGTATATATAAATATGCATATAACCTTCTTTTAGTTGGATTTTCGTATGCGCGCTCGCACACACACACACACACACCACACACACACACACACACACACACACACACACACACACACAACACACACACAACACACACACACACACACACACACACACACACACATGCGCATTTCAGCCTTTGAACACTTGAAATACGGCTTGTGGGGAAGAACAAATAAGAATAAAACAACATGCATACAGGCGCTCCACGCCCCAGCTGTCTACCATTAGCTAAGCATGCGCATTCTGTCATTTGACTATTTCTGATGATAATTTAGTTATTTTGATGAATCACAATCACTGGTCCGTTTTAGTCGTACTCTGCATTGCTGAACCATTTGAAATGTATCAAAATTAGTATATGTGGGAAATATACCATGGAACACAAATGGTTTAGGGTGACTGCCGAATGGGTCAAGTGGTCCCTGGAGAAGTATTTTCCTAAATATGAAGCTTTCTGAAGCATGTGGGGGCCTCATCACTCCATCACTACTGATAATTTTTCAAAGGTTTTTCTTTTGTTGGAAAGAGAATTCAAGCACAACCAAATGGTCATTCACTGATCCTTGTAATGCTGATGGAATAAGACAGATGTATAGGCAATTTTTCATTCTTTTTTACAAGAAAAAAATCCTTCCTGATGAGAATGTATAAGAAAAAATGAATGATGAGATGTATACGCAATTTTTTGCTCTTTTTTTTTTAAATATTATGTTCTTGGAGATAATGTACCCCCAAAAAACTGGAAAACACCAGTGGCAAAATTTCAGAAGGGAGCAATTACCCTCTCTGTAGCTCAAAAGAATTACAATTGTATGGTTTACAATTGATAAAAATCAACCTCACAATCTCAGTGTCTTACCTTTTTATGAGTAAAAAAGTTGTATCATTTATGAAACATATGTTCGTATAGTTTTAAAAAAAAAAAAAAAATTAGATAAAAAAAAAGAATTTTCCTTTGGTTTTTAACCATAATAGACAATACATATCCATACACCGTATATGTGTGTATTGCCATAATTATCATTTCCTTCAAAAGATCAATTAAAAAGGTATATAAGAGTTGCCTGATTCCTTTCCTTTCCCTTTCCCATTATAAAAGTTTCCTTACTTAATCAATGTAAGCTAACATTACCAAAAGCATCCACAATTATCCAAATAATGTTAAAAACTCTGGAACTGTAATACCTAATATTGGTGCTAAAGAGCATCGCAAAAATTGAACGAAATTGAAAGTAGACTGATAAGTAATACAACTGAAACCTTCACAAATATGGGAATTTACACTTCTCTAAAATGTATCATAGTCTAAATGTATCAATTCATATATACACAGAAAATATCTGCGATGATCTCCACCTGGTTATAAACTGACTGGATTTAGTTAATAGAAAGGTCACACAAGTGAAGATTTTTTTTTGTAAAACTGATGGAGAGAAAACAAAATCGGCTCACACACAAGGTAAAACGTGATCGTGCCACCTAAAAAGCTTAAATTAGGGACAAAGCTTCCAGCTTTGCTGTAACCTGCTGCTACTTAACTTTCTAGCAGTTTGTACTGCTCTATGCTTTGTACAAAATCTGATGTCCTACTGCACCAAAATTCTTCTAATAGCTTAGCATGCACCCATTTCCTTTACCAAAACTAGTCTGACAATGTGCAGCCTGACCATTAAGTAAAATCATAAACTTAAACATTGATTAACATTGTACTTACAGGACTAACCCCCTTGGCTATGCTTCTATACTGCAAATAGTCCTCTGACGGCAGTCTTGCTGAAGGAGGCTGTTGTTCCCATCCGCCAGATGTCTAGAAATTGGAAAGAAATGAGTAATAAAAAAAAGTCTTAACATCTTAATTAATATTTAGATTACTTTTCAGTCTTTTTTCTTCTGAACCACCTAAAAAAAAAATAATAAATTTTTGACAATGAAAAGATGACGAAGAAGAAAAAAAAACCCTGATTTCTCATATTATATACATATACATATACATATATATGTATATATATATATATATGTATATATATATATATATATATATAATATATATCTATATTATATATATATTATATATATATTATATATACATATATACATATACACATACATACATAATATAATACCCAATGCCTTTAATCAACAAGTCATCATTCCAAAAGCTTGGCTATTTTAGTAGAGCATTACAGTCTAAACATACATTTATGGCATTTGCATATGTGCGACTTTCTGAGAAATGACAATAGGACTTCATACAAGCCAAGGAACAGTCATCATGGACAAGCAAATTTTCACACTTACAGCTTGTATGCCTGAAGGTCCAGGCAGAGGGTGGGTCTGGAGTTCGGCTGCTGTAGCCTGTGACTGGGTAGTTGCTATTTGATTCATGACGGCAGACCCCTGGGCTCGAACAGGCAAGTTAGAGGCATGAGCCAAATATGCCAGGCCAGGATCTGAGAAACCAAACATTTGGGAGTTCTCACTAGCTTCTGTTTGCGGCCAATCTTCAGGCTCCTCCTTGACATTAAAGTCCTCTACTTTCACCTGCCATAAAATCACGAAAATACATATTCAGTTCAATACATCAACATCATCAGTACATTTATTTTTAATCAAATTTGTATATATCCATAATATAACACTATTATCTATGCTAATGATTTTTATGCTGTGTTTCAATGGGAAGAATTTCTGACCTGTGATCCCTCACATGATGAAACGTCACTGCTAGGCCTATTATGATCCTGAGCTTTGGATAACGTAGGTGCTGGCTCTGGCCTTTTGCTGGTTGGGGCCTCACAAGAGAGTTCCGCTGATGCCAACTGAGCTGGTGAGACTATGTCAGAATTTGGAGTATTATTTATTTGAACACTTTCAGACACTTCCTCTTGATTCTTTGGTTCACTGGATACATCCCTTCCCCCCATTGTACTTCTGGTTGTCACTGAATGTTCACTTTGGTTTGTAGACACAGAACGAGATTTCGGCAAGTGGTCATCAGCACTCAGCCTCCTTCTCTTTGCATCACTGATGTCTTCCCTTTGCGTCAGATTTCTCTTGTTGTATGTCAATTCTTTTTTCTGATTTGATTCCGAAGGTTCTGCTAAACCCTTTATCTGGAGATGTTCAGCGGCCTTCATGAACATCGTAAGGTCACTCTGCAGAATATTGACCTCACCCAGGTACATGTAGTCCAAGAGAGTTTCAAGCTCCTTGTGATTAATATCGGTCAAAACAATCATAAGATTCTTGTTTTCCGACAGTTCAAACATCTGTTCAAAATAGTCACTACACGCTGAAAGAATCAATTTGTGAACCGGGTAGAACTTACCATCACATGCTATTGTTGCATCACAGTATAACTCCTGGAAATACGAAGAAGAAAAAAATAACTTTCATACCTTTATAAAAATACATAAAGCTAAAACTATTCATTACATTAAGAAATATGATAATGGCATCAATGAATATAATAATGACTGTAACAACAGCATTAGTAATTGTCACTGGAATAGTAATGAGAAAACTAGCAAGACAGCAGTAGCACTAGTATCAGGCCTAGCTATGAGCTAAGATAACTATAGTCCAAATATTTGCTGGTATTAGGACAATAACTATCAATGACTTTCAGGATGAGTTAAGTACATGGCAACAAGCTATAATAATAATAATAATAATAATAATAATAATAATAACAATAACAATAATAATAATAATAATAATTATAATAACAGCAATGATGACAGTAATAACAATAACAATAATAATAATTATTATGATAATAATAATGTTGCCAGTATGTTTATGCTTTTTCTAAAAAAAAAAGAATCTGCATTCATCACAATTAAATATAATAAACATCACTGGCCGGTTGTCAAAAAATCTTTTCAAAAGTATGAATACAGCTCACAAATCCTTTACCGTTGGTTATCGTTAATTTCACCAGTAAGGCAGGTATTTGCAAGATATGAATTCCATAAATTGTACATCTGATAGTTGCAATGGCATGAATGGGATCATAACTATATACATCTATTGCAATTAAATATATAACTTATGAATGAATTAAAAAATAAATGTGTATCTGAGTGTTTACATCAACTCTATTCTCCTTTAATTGCTGGACTATTAAAAAACACTAGAAATGAAAAATGAGAAACAAAAGAAAAATATTGAGTTCTATATATGGTTTTGAAGAAAACACTTACTTTTTTCCGAACAGATGAGAGCATGCGAAAAAAAGTTGAACGATGATCCCTCCATTTAAGACACAGCAAGCCACCTTCCATGGTGATGAATTACACGTTTTACAGCTTTCTGAAATCAATAACAATGGCATCATAATATCAATATTACATAAGAGAATCCACTCATAACAAATGCAGTTGTTTCGTGTTGTTAGTATATCAGGGCCGGTTGGTCAATACGGAATACTGATGGTCCCTCCTTCTCTCATAATAAAAAATATAGTCAACAGACCTCTTATTTTTTATGTACTTTAAGGACATTACCCGAGTTTTTCTCTATCTCCAAGCGGCCATTGTTTGTAAGAGTTTACTGAAAAGATACCCTTGGCTAGGTCAATCAATCAGATTAATAAAGAAAGATTCATAGAAAAAAATTACTTTCTCAAAACAAAAGTTAAAAGAGATTTACTAGAACTGAGGAATGTGGAAGTGACTTGAATGACTGCCATGACATCCAGGAGTTTGATACTCCCATTGAGGCGAAAGGTGCTGTCACACTAGCACTTTTCCGTACAATTTTCTGAAATTTTGTCCATTTTGAGCGAATTGTCGAAGTCAGATGATAATGATCGTTCCATCTGAGTCATTTTTCATCAAGCATAGTCAAATCATGAGCTATATTCGCCAAAGATCAGACCGGAGTAGCATATTCTTGCAAGATAGAGCCTATTCAACATTTTATGCTTAAATTACCACCAGTACAAACACCATCGTGCTAAAACATGGGATGAAGGTTCCCTGATCTTCCTATTTTTGCTGACTTTTCAAAGAGCAAACGAAAAAAAGAAAAAAAATTATACGACCACGCTTCAGTTCCAAACACAAGACTATTATACTAGGAAACAATGTTTATCACAGTAAACATTATTTGTGTAAATATAAGCCTATCAATCAAAAGATCCTACAAACTGATTGCTAGGATTATACTTTGTCAGTTCTATCAGATGTTTTTGTTTTATTTTGAATCCATGACAGGAGTGGAACAAAAGAAAAGCTTTTATGATTTTGTAAATATTCAGAATACCTTCGCATAACCAATGTTGATACTGTTATTGATGGATTCCTCTTACAATCTACAATTCACATATGTGGGACATAGAATTTGAGCGGCTAGAGCGAGGTATATTTAAGTCATTTAGCGGTAACTATGAGGCCGCTGCAGCTTAAACCATGTTGTATCCTACTCTATTTCTTCCGCTCTATGTACGTGTGTTGCTCTCTTAAACTTTTACCATATTTACCACAGATTTCTACACTTATATTAATTACATATGTTGTTTACCTTGTAGGTGATGGCTGGGTGTTGAACTATCATAAAATTCTTTGGCTTTCACGAATTTTCCACAAAATTTCATTAAGCATTTGGTTGTGATTTTGATACCTTTTGTGTACTATAAAGGGTTAATTTGCTGTCAGTTTTCCTCCAGGTTCTTTATCAGACAAAATTATCCTCTCTGTTTCTCAGTAGGCTTCTATTCTGAGCAATTGCTGCGATATTTATAAAACCTTAAAACGAAAAGAGCATCGAGGATATCAACTTTACGCAAATTTGCATATGTACAGCGAAATTTCTAAAATAAAACGTAATGCAATCTACAGTCAGTAATTAACCTTAAAGATGAATTTCAAAAGCATACGTGGTTATCTTTGGAGTATCTGGCACCCGACACCTACAAAGTTATGATTAAGAGAAACTTCTACTCTTAACACAATACAAATAGAACATTAAAATACTGTGAATAAGCTTTTGCTGCCATATAAACAACATTGTAATTACGACTCACGGGAGCTGCCTCCACCTTAATCCCAAGCGGATAAACATTAGACTGATGCGCTTTTGTTTTCGCCGAGGAATTTTGCGGCAGAGCCACCTATTGGCCAACAGCGACACTTGAGATTTACGTTACGTTTATAGCCCACGACCAATCAGGACTTGCCTTTTGATCAACCAGCCAATCATGGACGAGAAGGAGCTTTATTTCGCTTATTGTGCTTCGAGTCCTATTTCAGATACTGCTTCGAAATTCAGTCTCATCGTGGAAGCATCAGCGAGTATACCTAGATTATTGAACGATAAAGTTATTTTTGGTTGGGTGAGGGTAAGTTCACTCTGGTGCACTCTAATTTCGATTCTGCGAGGTCAGTCCATGGGTGTACCAATTCCGAGAAGTAATTTTGCGACTAATAATCTGGGGAAAGAACTCCTTGGAGAAGGTGGATATGTAAACAACCAATTTTGCATCATTTGAAATCTCAATAAAATCACAGACGTGGGTGTCAGTTGCCGATCTGTTAAATATGCTATAGAGACGAATATACAGAATACCTTTGCAAGTCCATTGGATGACTGCTTACTTTCCTTCAGCTCCTCAGAATACAGTAACACTCGCCAACAAGTTAGACATGAACATTTGTTTCTCTTTACAGTGGTCGGTTTAATCTAATGGGGTATTTGTTAGCTTTTTGTCAGTAAATAAGACTAATACATAACTTGCACTATTATGTGAACATTGTCCTTCTCGGTCTTTCTGTCTGTCTCTCTGGCTCTCTCTCTCTTCTCTCTCTCTCTCTCTGTCTGTCTGTCTCTGTCTGTCTAATGTTGTCTCTTTCGTCTCTCTCTCTCATCTCTCACTCTCTCTCTCATCTCTCTCTCTCAATCTCATCTCTCTCTCTCTCTCTCTCTCTCTCTCTCTCTCTCTCTCTCCTCTCCTCCCTCCCTCTTCTCCTTCTTATCCGCTCTCGCTTCTCCTCCTCCTTCTCTTTCTCCTTCTTTCTTCCTCCTCCGCCTCCTCCTCCTCCCTCTCTCCTCCTCTCCTTCTCCTTCCCCTTCTCCTTCCCTCTCCTTCTCGCTTCTCGCTTCTCCTTCTGCCTTCTTGGCTCCTCTCTCTTCTCCTTCTCCTCTTCTCCTTCTCCTTCTCCTTCTCCTTCTCCTTTCTCCTTCTTCTCCTTCTCTCTTCTCACTTCTCCTTCTCCTTCTCCTTCCTCCTTCTCCTTCTCGCTTCTCCTCTCCTTCTCTGCTTCTCTTCTCTTTCTCTCTCTTCTCCTTGCTCCTTCTCCTCCTTCCTCCTTCTCCTTCTCCTTCCTCCTTCTCCTTCTCCTTCTTCTCCTTCTCCTTCTCCTTTCCCCTTCTCCTTCTCCTTCTCCTTCTCCTTCTCCTTTCCTTCTCCTTCTCCCTTCTCCTTCTCCTTCTCTCCTTCTCCTCCTTCTGCCTTCTCCTTCTCCTTCTCCTTCTCCTTCTCCTTCCTTCTCCTTCCTTCTCCTTCTCCTTCTCCTTTCTCCTTTCTCCTTCTCCCTTTCCTTCATCCTCTCCTTCTCCCTTCTCCTTCTCCTTCTCCTTCATAACTTCTCCTTCTCCTCCCTCCTTCCCCTCCTTCTTCTCCTCCTCCTCCTTCTCTTTCTCCTTCTCCTTCTCTTCCTCCTGTCTCCTTCCCCTCTCCCTCTCCCCTCTCGTCCTCTCCCTCTCCCTCTCCCTCTCCCTCTCCCTTCTTCTCCTTCTTCCTTTCTTCCTTCTCCTTCTCCTTCTCCCTCTCCCTCTCCCTCTCCCTCTCCCTCTTCCCTCATCCCTCTCCTCTCCCTCTCCCTCTCCTCTTCCCTCTCCCTCTCCTTCCCTCTCCCTCTCCTCTCCCTCTCCCTTCCCTTCCTTCTCCTTTCTCCTCTCCTTCTCCCTCTCCTCCCTCTGTCTCTCCCCTCTCCTCCCCCCACTCCTCTCCTCCCGCTCTGTCTCCTCCCCTCTCCTCCCCCCACTCCCTCTCCCCCTCTCCTCTCCTCCCCTCTGTCTCCTCCCCCCTCTCTTCTCCCCCACTAGGTTTAAGCCCTCTCCCTCTCACCCCTCTCCCTCTCCCTCTTCCCTCTCCTCCCGCCTCTCCCTCTCCTTAATTGAATACATAACCTTCACTATTTATGTGAACATTGTCTAATCTCGGTCTTTCTATATATCTGCCCCCCCCCCCCTCTCTCTCGTCTGCTCTCTCTCTCTCTCTCTACTCTCTCTCTCTCTGTCTTCTCTCTCCTCTCTCTCTCTTCTTTCTCTTCTCTCTCTCTCTCTCTCTCCCTTCTCCTCTTAACCCTCTCTTCTCCTCCTCCTTTCTGCTTTCTCCTTCTTACTCCTTCTCTCCACTCCTCTCTTCTCCTTCTCCTTCTCTTCTCCTTCCCTTCTCATTCTTCTCTCCTTCTCCTTCCCTTCTCCTTCTCCTTCTCCGTCTTCTCCTTCTCCTTCTCCTTCTCTTCTTTTCTCTCTTCTCCTTCTTCTCCTTCTCCTTCTCTCTCTCGCCCTTCTCCTTCTCCTTCTCCTTCGTTCTCTCCTTACTCCTTCTCCTCTCCTTCTCTCTTCTCCTTCT